TGCACTGAAACTCCTAATGTATTAAAATTATGCAATTTGATCCTTTCGTTAGCTTTCGCTTCTCATTTCGTCAAAAATAACTCCATTGATGTTGACGGACTGAGCAACAAAATTTAATATAAGAGTCACATTATAACATTTTTAATATATTGAAGATGCAATATAAAAAATTTAATATTTAAGGGTATAAAGTGGGAATTAAAGTGCAATTTAACCAACTTTAAATTTCATCTTTTTTCTTTTTTAATTAATTCCTCTTCTCATAAAATAAATAATGTTTCAAAAAAGTACAATTTACCCTCTAAGTACACATATACTAAATGTCCTGGACAAACGATTAGAAGGATTTCGATCCTCACCATTAGTCTTTCCTTTTAATTTCATGTTAGATGAGTGACATGTGTAAAATTTAATTTTCAATGGACAAGATATTTTTTTATTTATTTCATTATTGAGTGTTAACCATGATTAAAGAATTTTCTCATAGAAAAAAAAATCTTGCCTATTAAAATTTAAAATTTTACACATGTCACCCATCTAGCACTGTATAAAAGGGAATTGAAGGGAAGCGAAAGTATAGGAGATCTAAACCTGAAAAGTAAGTAAGATTAAAAAGGGAGTTTAATAGTTATTTACAGAAAATTTTGGATATTATTAACATTTCTTGAATTGAGACACTAAAGTGAGTTATAAATAGTTATTTAGGAAGAAAATAAAGAGCATTGTGGATATTTTAACAAATGGATACCAAACCCCTTCTCTTCTTTTATTAATAGTGTATATATATAATAAGATAGCTTACAATTTGAATTTTATCCTCTACATATTTTTTCTCTTAAAAATATCACATCACTCATTTCTAGCACATGCTAATTATTTTAATATTTGATTAATTTATAGTTGAATATAATTTTTATTTCAAATATTATTCATACACGATAGTATATATATGTTGAGAAATTTTATCGAATTACGTATTTTTAAAAAATTATTATTTAATATAGTGAGATAGATTTTTTTGGACGCTCGAATTTTATATTTCATCGTGTCTTCAGGCACGGGTTATAACTAGAATATATATATACTAGTCATAACCTGTTTCTGAAGGCACAATAAAATATAAAATTCGAGCATCTAAAAAATCGATCTCATTATATTAATTTTTTAAAAATATATTAACTACAAATTAATCAAATATTAAATGATTAAATATATTATAGAAATGAGTGATGTAATGTTTTTAGAGAATAAATATATAAATGATTAAACATATGATAGAAATAAGTTATGCGATTTGACGTTTGAGTCTGACAAAGGGATGATAGATGAGATAAGTGATTGATTATGATTTTGAAGGGGAAAATATGACTAGGATAAAATTTAAATACACTCCTGTTTTATTATATAGATATAATTAATTGTACTTAACTATTTTTGAGGACTTAAACTTTGTACCACAATTCTATTATTCAATAGATTTTTGTTTTTTTTTGAAAGAAAAAAAAAAGAGGAAATTCCTTCTTTTTAAAAAAGGACAGTGATAATATTGCAAATACACTCAACATGTAGGGGCATTAGTCTTTAATGTAGTAGAAAAATTGTAGGAATGACACTTCTACAGTTTATACTTTATTTTCCTTTGGTTATGCTATGCTGAACTGATCTCTAGAGTGCAAGTGGGGGTGACAGGAAGATCCTTTTCTCAAAAATTCAACTTAGACTTCATTCCTTATTAGACTGGACAGAAGAAACTGGATGTTTAAGCAAGACAACATAGATACGTGCACCTCCACTATACGTATTCTAATGGAGAGAACCCTCCTTGGTCAACAGACACAATCAACGTGACATCCATTTATCTCCATTGAATCTTCTTCTCTTTCTGCACTTTATCGACACCGATGGAGACATGTATCGAATTATAAAGATACTAATGCTATATCTTCTATGGTTACTTACCAAAAGAAGAACTTTTACATCAAGTGGTGATTGAACCCGGTTTGAAGTCTTGCATTTATTAATGGTAGACCACCCTACATTAGTTCAAATAGAACTCTCTTTCGGTACATTGTTTTAATCACGAAGAAACAAAAAATGATTTGACGTGTTTTAAAAATGTTTTTACCTGTTTCAAAAACAAAATGAAAAAAAAAAGATAAAAAATTTAAAAATTATTTTTTTAAAATATTTGTTGAAATATATCAAAATATCTTAAAAAATTTTGAAATATTCCGAAATAATTGTGCAAATGTATTGAAACGTTACAAAACACCTCGAAACATTATGAAATACTTCGAAATATAAGAATTTCAATTCCATTACTTATTCGTTTTGATTTTTTGGAAACAGAAATATTTCAGACAAAATTTTGATCCTTGGTCCCCTCCAACAATGCCCGATTGGTGATCTACTACCGCAAAGATTCAAGAAAAATGCACTGAAGAGTCCACCTTGCTACATTCCTGTTTCAGGGATCACAGAGTCCACGTTGTTACCATTCTCAGGACTCTAGGACTTCAAGGTATTTGGAGTGAGAGGCAGCAAGAAGAGCAGCCCCAATGCCCGAACCATCATTGGAGTGCTCAAAAACGATGCTTTGTGAGACTTCCTCTCCAAGTAGTTCGTTTAGAGTGTTCTCCAAGCACTTGCGGTATTCAGTGTAGTGCTCATACAATCCACCATCCATAGCTATCACCGTCTTCTGTGTCTCCCCATCCCTGAGAGTATCTCTACCCATTTTCTTCAGGACACCCAAGATCCCAGCAGCAGCAAGTCTGGCCCCACGTGTGGCGACAATGTTGCATAGCTCAACCACTACTCTCCTCGTTTTTAAGGAGGTATTTGATATCTGAAATAAAAGGAAAATAAGAAAGAAAAATTATGAAACAGACAAAAACTTATACGTAAAATGAAACAAGTAGTAAGTTCAGGAATATTTATTATTTTTTTTTTTTGGTACAATATGTCTTGAGTGTTATGTTCCACTGATGAAATGGAAATAAAAACAGTTTTGATTACTGACTGAAAATTGAAACCTTGCAGAAAATAAGATATACCTCTAAGATGTCCTTTAATTTTTTCCCCACCACTCTAAGATCAGATGAAGTGTCATGATGCATTGCTGACATGTCAGGCGTCCTGCATATTCAACAGCTCAGAGTTTTAACAGTTAGCAGATCCTAATCTTGGTAACTAAACTAATGTAATGTACGTATGTTGCAAAAGAAGATTGCAAAAAAATGTTTGTCAACAGATCAGATGAATTTGCAACAGCATGAGACAATTAAAAAGGTTAGAAGTTGGGCCAAAAATAGGTAATAAGAAGCCTTTAAAACAGTCTTGATCATAATAAACAATGAAATAAGCCTTTGTGGTACTTAATTTATGAGTATCAGACGTTTCTTTATCACATACCCAAAACGCTTCCAAAATTTGGAAATAATAAATATGACAAATCGATTTGCCAATACTAGTATAAGTTCGAACTCAGACATCACAATGCAAATGCTTTCACAACATTTCTGGTGTTGATAGTAGGTCAAACAAAGAAGCCATTACACATGCTAGCTCTCATGGTTTGATTAATATCATACATTCTCTGACAGATCTAGTGATCACAATCATAATCTTCTCAGTAAATTCAGACCAGTACAGACTGCGTGTAAGGTCTTGTGGCGAACTTCATAATACAAATTGTATGTTGGACTGAATGCCAGATATCAGCCTCAAATCTCAACCCCTTACGTCCTTCAACTTCAGAGCAAAATACCTCCCATCTAAATTTGTGTAATCATATAAATGTTGGGAGTCTTTCTATAAATATCGGTGGTGAATATGTCAACACTAAGATGAATTAATCCTGGACTGGAAACAATTCAATGAAGAGTATGGGAAGACAAGCAAATATGTTTTCAGTCGATCAGACTACGCTGCCCCTATCTTCCCACTTTTGTTTCCTCACTTTGCTACAAGCAGATGGCAAGAAGACTCATCCCAACACCAATACAGAGGCCAACGCATCCACAATGTCATCCTAAGAAATATATGCATTTGTAAGACAACACAACAAAAGAAGTAATTCTTAATAACACAAACATTTTTGGTACGAAACCCCATGGATAGTAATGTGGTACAAGGATCATGTTACCAGTAGGGTGTGTCTCAATCCCCACCCCACCCCAACCAAGAAAAACCGAAAAAAAAAAAAAAAAACCCATGCTTCACATACTTATGCAAGTTTAACTTTCAGTAACAACAATACATAGTTATGCAAGTCTAACTTCCAGTAACTAAAATAGATAGCAAGACTCCAGAATAAATTGGCCCAAAACTGAACTAGATTATCACTGTAATTGAATCTTTTTGGCAAGAAACTTGCAAGTTTCAAATTATTTATGGTTTGATCAAGGATGGATCCTTTAAAAGGCAAGACTACTTAAGGGACTCTGAAGAACAACCCCCAATGCTAATCAGCTTCAGAAAAGCAGATTAATCTTCTCGTATATTAGAGTCTAGTTATCTTCCCAGAAAGGTAAGATAGTTCAACTTCATTCTGACAAACAGCCGCCTCATTGCCATTAATTCAAAGCAACAATAAGCTGATTTTCAACCCTACAAGATACATGGATGTGCAGGGGCACCTCTGGCCCTCTTCAGAAACTCTACATAGAGCCCTTTACTCCATAAGAGAAACTTTAATATGTCTAGAATTCACACTGAAATACAAGTAAAAAACCAGGAGATCATGATTATTAAACAAGTGACATAATATATGAGCTCGACCAAACAAAAGGAATTCCTTTAGAAGGCAATGGCAACTAGGCAGTGCAAGTCTTTAAGGACTACCTCAATATGAAGGAAGTCCTTAGTTTTGGTGGAACAATGTCACCAAACAAGGCAGCTTCTTCGGCCAACTTGCATAGAACTTTGCGAACAATCTCTCCCAAATACATACCAGACGTTAACTTTTCAAATATCTGTAAAAATTCAATACAAGGATTTCAGATGTTGCACAAAATCATATTCATTTGGACAGACAAAGACAAGTGAAACCGTTTAAGCACAGATAAACAATCACCTGTTCACTGGGGTTTAAACTTTCAGCATCCAATGCATGATCATACTCTGTCAAGGGAAGATGTGATGACCTGAAATTACCCCACTCCATGTTGATAACCTACAATTTAACATAAATTAAATGGCAATTTTCATTCACACTTCCACATCTCATGCAGCTATTCCATAGAGATACCCTTAATTTATGCTTAAAACCATGACAAATGGAGTTTTGTTGTCGGTGGGTGTATAGAGAGAGAGAGAGAGAGAGATTTAAAGAGAATCTACAACCACACAAACAGTGCTAACCATCTCTCCGGATTTAGGTGGAGGACCATGCCATTTTGGTATTGCTTGAGCACGTTCCACATATGCTGCATTTGTTCCAGTACCCATAATCACAGCAATAAGAACATCTTTGTTTGAGTACCTGCCTCCAGCTAGTGTTCCAATTGTATCATTGACCTAGTGCACAAACCGTTGACGAAGAACTTACAGATTGAATTTATATAAACCAAAAGAAGTACTCTATATCAGATAAATTTCTTAAAATAAAAAAAAAAAAACAATTGGCAACACAAGATTGCTTTCTTCCTTGAAGTCGACAGAAATGTCAGTCATGAATAGCCAACACCACATTTACTTACCAAAGCTGACACTTGCATATCAACGCCTTGTCTTTCCATAGCTTCTGCCAGTTCTGCTACCACATCTTGACCAACCTATTCATTCAGCAATTAAGACGAAGAGGACAAATGATGGATCAGTAATGGAATACTGTATTAGTAAATAAGCATCCCAAATTCATGTGATGGCAATAGGAATTAATTGTTCCTTCAGGTGATATAAGAGGTGCAGACTGCAGACTTTTAAAATTGATGCACAGGATACACATTCTAATTTCGCTTCACATTTCCTCTGATGAAGCAACAGCTGATGCAACAAATAGTTTTTCGTCAATGATACAATCCAATATGGAAATTGAAGAAGCCTTGGATGCTAGAATTTTAGAACAGAATACATACAATTAACATAAATATAACTTAGACGTTTTATGCCAGAGCCACTAACATGGAAACTCACTGTGTCAAAATTGCTTGCCATGGAGAATGATTACGTGTATAATCCTATAACAGAGAAACGAAAACACAAAGGCACTTGTGAAGCAATTTGTTATTTTCAAAGCCCAGTAAAAAATCTGCTCCTTTTTGAGGTAGACATAATTCTAATTGAATCAGTGCTAACATTCCATTCTCTGGCATGGGGCTGCCAAAGCTGCGAACCTGACCACGCTGTACTCTCACAGCCTGATCATCAACCTGTAGATACTGATGAGGGATTTTTCTCACCATAAACTGAAAAAGGAGAAACGATATACAAGTGGAGCAATTTGGGATTGACAGAGGAGCATTATGCAAATGAAATTACTTTTTGAGCCAAGAAGATCCAGAATTAAGATGTATGGTGCATAATACTCTTGATGAAGGGCACATTAAGGGCATAAATAGAGATTGACTGGCAGAGGTTAAACAGACAGGAGCATTGAAAATATTGATCCTGGATATAATAGCCAAAGCTGTAATGACAGATGGAAAGAAGACCCAAATTTTCAAGACTTACAGAAATAAAATCAGTAAGTTTTAGATACTAAAAGAATTCCTGATTCTGAATTTGATATGAAATTTTGAAATGTGGCCTTATTCAAAACAAAAACATATACTCGGTTGCTTTTATTTCAAATTTAAAATGGATCAGAAAGTAAACTTTTGATTGGAAAAATGTCAACTTTTACGCAGCAGGAGTAATTTCTTTAATTTTCTCATATATGTGTGCAAGGAGATGGTGGAAGGCCTTGAGAACCCGAGTTAAAATTCTGTAGCCAAAAGATGACTATGCACTTATAGTGAAGCTGATAAGTTGGAAATGTGTTTGAAAATAATTGTCTTGACACGATAATTCTTATTATTTGTCAACTCATTTAAGTTTCAGCCAATAATTTAACCAAATAGAGTTTCCTACCGCATAATATAGGTACTGAATTAAGATAGATGGTTCTGTATAAAACAAGCTTTTGAGTCCAAGGAAATCCCAGCTATGTGCATCAAACCATCCCAATTGAGTACTATAGGAGTCCTTGTATGCACTAGGATACAGAATGAAACTCAAAACAATTCCAAGGAATTGTGCCAACCAACAAATATCTCAGCTGATATATTAAAATTTGAGTTTCCAGTTTCCTTCCTATTTGTTTTCAGAAACGTTCAGTTTCAAGCTTTCATGAATTGGAAAATTAATCCCACTTCATTGAAAGCAAACTATTACTTTACATTCAAAATCCATGATCCTTCTCATATTTATATCTAATGTATTCAAGGTCAGCTACACTGTGAATTGCAGTTCCAACTGATGGTTCAAACCAGCCAAAAGTTGACAAGAACGCGATTATATGCCTGCATAACAATTCCCTGTATCAAGAAGTGGATTCTTTCATGAATGATAACATGTTTAGAGAGAGATCGCATTCAGACTAATAGATTTTCCGTGATGATATAGAGAATGAAAGAGATCTGACCGGAGAAATGTAGAGTTCTATGTAGTTCAAGTTGATGATGATCTATAGCATAATCAAAGGAATAAATTAAATCAGAGAATATAAAGGGGGCCCAAGCAATCAGAAGTAACCGTGTCATCAATGGAGAATCCTTTTGTCCATCTAATTAGAGTCCCGGAAGAAATTGATGTTTGCATCACAGGGAAAGAGAAGGTGAAACCAAGTTCCCTTTGCCTACCAGGAGGAAGATGAAATTTTTGACCTTCTTGGGCAACAAATTTTGCAAGTTCTGCTGCAATATAGTCAAAAAGTGCCTGAGAACACATTAATCTTGAGCATTCAGAGATCATCCAAACAGAATGGTACAATCAGGAAGGAAGGATAATAGACTCAAGAGAACAGACACTTACATCTGAAGTCCCAACCATCAAATGAGGAGGAATTGACACCTCAGAAAATTCTTGATCAACTATACCACCATCCTTCCCTCCCAATTGTACCCGTAACACTCGGAAGTTTGTTCCACCAAGGTCCAATGCATAAAACACTCCTTCCTCGTCACTGGAAAGGGAAAAACAAAACAGATAAGATTTTCAATTGCAACCATTCTTAAATAAAGATATGTTATGAAAACAGTGAACATTCACGATATTTAAAAATCCTTCAAAATGCCTTTCTCTGTGATATATTCTTTTTGGGCACTTTGACATGACTGTTTCTTTTGAAATAGCTATTTCCTTAAATACTCTCTGCTAAGTGAATTTCTAGGAAGTAAGCATTTATTGGTGTAGAAAAAAGCAAAACCTGAAATTGATTCTGTATGTTAGAATTATATATTGGCTTCCCCTATTTCTTTTTGGCCCATATGGCTAGTTGGTGACCCATATGCCACCTGGCTGTCCCTTAGGAGCATATTTTGGCAATATATGGCTTTGGAGAATTCCCCAAACACTAATTATAACCTCATATTTCAGCACAAAGGGTAGAGAGAAAGGCTAAATTTGGTACAACCTGTTCCTAGAGGAGGAGCTTCAATTGAAGTAGGGGTGGAATCGAAGCGGAGAGATTCATTTTTAGTGGTATTTTCAATAGATCCAACCCTGTTACTACCAACCTACTGTCCTACTCATAATCACAACACGTTGACCTTTGGCCCAACAAGCGGTCTGCGACTGCGACAATCAATGTGCTTATTTGCAGTATACAATAATACAAAATATCCAGTTGTAAGCCTTATAGTGAATGAGTAACTAGATGCATATCATTAGTTGTAGTGTTGCTAATGTCAGCAGATATGGCCGCATGGATGTAATTTGTATACAAGCCCAGACCAATGTTCACAAGGCCAACAACAGATACTACATCTTTAATTTTGGCCTGAAAATAGAATATGGTATCACCCCATAAATAACTGGTAGTGCTATCAGTTATGTAGAATTATTCCTTTGAAATAAGTTGGTTGCACATATAAGCATGTGAAAAAAAGATAGGAAAAGAGAAGAGAGAGTTAGTGATAGGAATCTTTCCAAGCCTATAATAAGCAAATTGAAAACCTTTAGATACTGAGAAAAAACTGCCACCTCTGAATTATGAGAATGTCAGAAAGGGAAAAGGGCAAGCTTTATAGAACAAATTCTGACAATCAGATCACTCTTAACAAATTTAGAAATTAAGAATTATTCAGATTGGAACACTAGGAATTCTAAACAACATAGGGGCAAATGTAAGGACAAATTTGACCATAAAAACAGTGAACTTGTGATAATTCAACCCATAACCCATGCAAATTTTATTCCTTAATTTAAAAGGCCTATAATTTCGAGGATCCAAACAATTGTGCCGTAAAATATACAATATACACAAGTCAGTCAACAGTGAATTGGCAGCATTTGTCATTATCAAAAAATTCTCGCCACCCATTCTCCAAATGCAACAAATTCAACTTATGAAACACAATGCACATCAAGTTCATATGTCAAATATACAAATACTATATATCGATCGATCGAGAGAGAGTAATTCACCCCGTGGGAAGGTTGTCAACGTAGCTGATGAGCATCTTGAGCTTGCTGCCACCTTCGGAGGCGAGACCGGCGTGCATTTCCACCGTCATTGCATCGGCCACTTGCATCAGCTTCGAAGTAGGGGTCCCACACTTCTCCTCAAATTCCTTCAGAATAGCCACAACCCGGGCCCACTTGCTAGAGCTCCGCATGCGGTGGCGCATGATCAGCACGACCGCCGCACTCACCGCCGCACCGCCTATGACCGCCGCTGACACTGCCACCTTCCCCATTATCGTATGCAATCGACAGAACTAATCAGAGACCTCAAAATAAAAAGATATCAATTTCAGTTGCGAATCACGCAATGCAAATCCTATGAATAATTTAGTTCGTAGTTGTCGATTAAGAAACCCTAAGTATGAGAGAGAGATCGAAAACGAAGTCGGAGATATGTTTGGTGATGGGACTCTTCTGAAAAGTCCTAGGATGAAGACACGTGTCCTCGGGGATTTCTGGAACAGTGTTGCTCGGATTAAGCACCATCAGCAACGAGTGTCCCCGCCCCCGAGGTACCTCTCATATAGGATCCATGCATTCGGTGTATTATACAACAACACGTGTCCTCGGTCACCCATGCATCTCGGAAGTATACCCCCCCTCGGTCCCCGAGATGAGCCTTCCCTCGGGCCGAGAGTTACTCCGTCCTTGACGCTTCCTCTACTCCAGGATAAGCTATTGACGTATAGGTCACTAGCCTAGGTTTGTCTAAGCTGCTCATCATGACCTCGTCTTACACAAGTAATGTCAGGACATACTGGAATACAGAGGTCACAGCCAATAAGGGATGAACGCGTGGCAAATGATGTCACTTCAGAGACAGACAAACTGCACGCCGTTGCTGACATGCGGCTTGGGAAGACAAACAATTAATTGCACCATTCCCTTGATGAGACCGCATTCAATGCGGTAAGGCTCGGAAGTGAAAGACAATAAATGCTCCTATTACAGAGCATTTATTGCATCTTCCCCGAGAGGAGCATATTGTACCGTCGGCATCCCGACGACTCGACATTAATTGCTCGGGACCCCGAGCAGTCAATTAGAGAAGACATTCTCATCAGAATCAATGCACACGCAACCTGCACCTAATGATCACCTACTGACCACACTGACAGCAATCATGAGCTTTTAAGGTATAAATACTCCTTGCAAAAGGCAAGACAGGGAGGCAATCACAAACTCTCTTCTACAGTATATTTTCCTCAGTGTTTTCCCCTTCCTCTCTCTCTCACTCAAAGACTGACTAGACCGTCGGAGGGGATACGCCGAAAAAACACTCCGGCGCCCTTCTAACTTGTTCTTCTTTGTTCCAGGAAAACCTGTCACACGTACAGGATCGATCTTCCTTTCCCAGGATCTTCCTTCGCCGTTCCAGGTTGCCACCGTACCTTGTAGGCTGATTCGAGCAGCGTGTTTGGCCACTCAACCGGCTCACTCAAAGTTCACCAGGGGAGAGATCTGTTCCCAATATTTTTTATATTGTGCAGGATCTTGCACGCACAATCTGGCGCCGTCTGTGGGAAACGAGTAGTTTTCCTAATCTTTTCTCTATAAAGAACAGTGACCATGGTGAACACCAGACAGAAAGGGAAAGGACCCCACCAAAGGAGTCATGAGTTGCAAGCTCCCTGCCATCACGGAGGGAGGGATCGCACCAGTACGATTAAAAGTGCCTCTACTCGGTCAAGGGGGGTAACCCCTCAAACCAGTATGGGGATCAGGTCAGGAGGATCAGCCCCCTTGGCCCGTCAGCTGACAGAGGTGATTGAAGAGAAATTTGGCGATAGATTACGTCAGCTGGAGAAGGACAATGTAAACGTCCTTAGCCGGCTCGACGAGTTTGCCGCCTCAGGCGGAGGGTCGAGGGATTCATTCCTTTCCCGAGGACTCCCCGTCCATGAGGCGGAGACAAAGGATCTAAGAAACCACCTAGATCACAAAGCAGAAAGCTCCAGGGCCCCGAAGCGACCCAGAGCCGGCGAATGTCATCTTGACAACCATTCCAGGAAAGCAAGGCCATTGGCCCTGGACGACCTCCGGCGAGGTTTGTCCAGACGGAGGAAGGGAGATGAATCCGAGGAGGACTCAACCCAATCTACACGACGCCCAGGAAACGAGGGGCTTACCAATGAACCCAGGGACTTCAGGAGGCATCCCGTAAGGGAAGAAGTAGATCTCAGAGCCCGATTAGACTCCAGAAGAAAGGGTAAGACTGTCCAGGACGAGGCCGAGGACGAAGTCATGCAAACACCCTTCACGAGGGAAATCAGTGAGATGGATGTCTCAAGAAAGTTCGTCGTGCCACGGTTCAAAACCTATGATGGGCGATCCGATCCCGAAGCCCATATCAGACAATATAAGCAGATGATGTCCCTCTATCATTCGGACCAACGGTTTCTATGCCGGGTGTTCCCTATGAGCTTGGGGGACTCTGCGATGAGGTGGTTCGAGACGCTTCCCCCAAACAGTATTGGGTCCTGGAAAGAATTGACAAGGCAGTTCCTAACCCGATTCATCACGGGGAGTAAGCGCCCCAAGGACATTGGATCATTGTTGACCCTCAGACGGAGGGAATCCGAGACTCTTCGCCAGTACGCCATCCGATACTGGGAAGAGGTCAATGAGGTCGAGGGATGCTCGGAGGTCATGGCAGCAGCATCTTTCCGGCTCGGCTTGGCGAGGGACACGGACCTGTACCGATCCCTGACCAAGAAGACTCCCTCGGATATGGGGGAACTGATGGCCCGGATCAACAAGTACTCAAGGGTCGAGGACGAGATGGGAAGCAACAAAGGCCGAGCCCTCCAATCCAAGAGAAAGGAGAAAGAGCGCGAAGATATTCCCCGAAAGGGATTGCTACCCCATCCAGGGGGTTCGTCCAGAGGAGTTCACACCGTCTTCAAGGAACCCATCTTCAGATTGCTCCATAAAATCAAACACGAGCCGTTCTTCAAATGGCCGCCCAGGATGCAGAGCGACCCCTCCACCCGTGATCAAAAAGTTAGGTGTTCATATCACCGGGATGTCGGGCATCGCACCGAGAGCTGCAGGGTGTTCAAGTCATTTTTGGAAAGCTTGGTCCGAGACGGACATTTGAAAGAATACATAGAGCCTAGGCCAGAAGAGAAACGAGCCCTTGCCCCGACCGAGGAACCGAACAACGTCATAGACGTCATCCATGTATGTCCGCTGGAGCGCCCCACGTCCAAAAGCTCGAATCCGACCTCAATAGGGTAGTTTTTACAAGAAAGGTAGCCGAGGGAGATGTGGGGCCATCAAGTAAAAGGGCCAGGATGGGTGAGCTTGGCATTACGTTCTCTGACGCAGATTTAACAGGCGTGGTGATTCCTCATAACGACGCCCTTGTCTTGACCCTAACGATAGGGAAATTCGATGTCAAGAGAATTTTGATAGATTCAGGGAGCTCCTCGGAGGTGATGTACTTTGAGACTTTGAAGCGGATGGGCTTTGGCCCCAAGGACTTAACCAAAATCAGGACACCCCTCATCGGGTTCAACGACTCTTTCGCCTTGCCCGTGGGGAAAATCACATTACCGGTCGCCACTGGTCCCTTCGTCATCGACACAGAGTTTGTTGTGATCGACACGGACTCTCCTTACAACGTGATTATGGGGCGAACATGGCTGCACGCGTTGGGAGCGGTGCACTCCACTCTCCACCAGAAGTTAAAGTTCGCCACGCCAGAGGGCATCATGGAGATCCGGGGGGACCAAGCGTCTGCGAAGAACTGTTTTTATTCGGCCGTCCGGGCCGGGGCATCCTGCCAGGAGAAGGGGCGAGCACCGGAAGAGATCATGGAAAAATAGCAATTACAGTCCGGGCGTCCGGGGATGGACGACCCCCGAGTAGACCCGGCTGAACGATCAGTTGAAGACCTCCGGAAGGTGCCCTTGGTTGAAGGAGAAGAAGAAAAGTATTTCCTAGTTGGAACCTCGATGCCCGCAGCCGAACAGGAGGAGATGATCAGGTTCTTAAGGGGAAATACAGACGTGTTCGCCTGGAACGAAATGGAAAATGACAGGAGTAGACCCTGAGATAATCACTCACAGGCTGCATGTTGACCCGTCACACAAGCCAGTAAAGCAGAGGCCACGACGTATGGCCTCGTATCACACCCGCGCGGTCAATGAGGAAATAGACAAACTCCTGAGAGCCGATGCCATTCGAGAGATACAGTTCCCAGAATGGCTGTCCAATACAGTATGCGCAAAGAAGAAAGGGGGGAAATGGCGTGTCTGCGTGGATTTCACAGATCTAAACAAGGCATGTCCCAAGGATGACTACCCCCTGCCGAAGGTGGACCAGCTGGTAGATGCCACAGCCGGATATGAACGAATGGACTTCCTGGATGCCCGAGCAGGATATCATCAGATCCCTCTCTATGCCCCGGATCAAGCAAAGACGACATTTATCACTCCAAAGGGAGTTTATTGTTATCAAGTGATGCCGTTTGGATTGAAGAACGCCGGGGCAACATACCAAAGACTGATGAATCGGATGTTCAAGAAGCAGATCGGCAACACCATGGAGGTCTACATAGACGACATGCTGGTAAAGAGCAAACGGAGTTGTGATCACCTTACAGACTTGGCGGATACCTTCTCCACTCTCAGAGAGTATGGGCTGAAGCTGAATGCAGCCAAGTGCGTCTTCGGAGTGGAGTCAGGAAAATTCCTCGGGTATCTGGTTAGTCAGCGAGGAATCGAAGCCAACCCGGATCAGATTAAAGCAATCCTGGACATCCGAAGCCCTCGCACCGTCCGAGAAGTCCAGAAACTCACAGGGATGCTGGCTGCACTTAACCGTTTCGTCTCACGCTCCTCGGATAAATGCAAACCCTTCTTTGGAGCAATCAAGAGTGCTGGGAGAAAATATGTGGAGCCAGGGGTGCGAGGACGCCCTGGCTGGGATCAAAGAATACCTAAGGACTCTTCCAACCCTGTCCGTCCCCATCCAAGGGGAGATGTTGTTCCTGTACCTGGCTGTTTCTGAGTTTGCGGTAAGCGGGGTACTTATCCGTGAGCATGAGCACCACCAGAAGCCAATTTACTATATAAGCAAGGCACTCCTGGACGCCGAAACAAGATATCTACCCCTGGAAAAACTGGCTCTATCCTTGGTCACCACGGCCAGGAAACTACGGCATTATTTCCAGGCTCACCCAATCACTGTCCTAACTGATCAGCCCTTGAAGGCAATTTTGAGGAAA